GTTCAAAGTATCTAAATGTCTTAACATTTATTTAATGCTTTATGGTTTAAAAAAATCTTATTTATCCTTTTAACAACCCTGAAAGATACCAGAGGTCTAGTGCAGTTATCCTCCATTTTGGTTGGGGGACTAAGGTTCATTTCAGATATTTGACTCAAGCAAGATGTTCTAACTTGTAATAGTCAAATTACTAATTTGAATAATATATCTATGGATAGCAATAAATATGAAAATAAGAGACTGGAAAATTGCAGAGGTTCATGGCTGAGGTTTAAACTGGTTATGGGCTATAAAATGTGAAACTGGGAAAGACTTTTGTGATCTGTAGTACTGTGGGATGTGATACAAAACTGTGTATTTAAGATAAGATGCTTTAGGGGCTAATTTCAAATCCAGTCAGAAAAACAGCCATTTTGTAATATGCTAATTCCTTTAAAAATAGGAAATAATTTGGGTAGAGAATATGTGGCAAGAAAAATAGCTCTGTGTTCTAAGAAATTTAAACTCAGGTTAAGTCCTTTTAAGATAAGAAGCCTACTTAGTATAGTCCTGGATTAGGATAGGATATTTAATTTTCATTTAGCTGACACAGGCTAATAGCCTTTGTCCATTATTGATTGCCACCCTCAGACTCCCGTACGCGGGAATTTCACAGCATTTGGCAGAAAGCACATCTTACTAGACTGCTCTAGAGGAGATTTAATGTTCAGGAAGCAAAAACAACTCAGTAAAATGCACTTCTGAGTCGAAGACCCACCCTGGATCTTGAAAATTTCATTACATTATTAGAAAGATTCCAATACTAATTCACATTTATTTCATACACTGAAAATTTTGGCAGAGCCTTTTTCCTCTGCACTTGGGTACAACACCAGAGGCCCCTTCTCATTCCTGTAGGAGGAGAGCTGGGCAAGCAGTGAGGGCCTCTTGGCTTCCTCTCTTGTCCCTGCATTGATCCTTAGAGTTCCCTGTCTGAATGTGATAACCAGCACCCTCAGTGCCCACTGCCCTCATTGTCTTGCTTTAATCCACCTTCACCTATTTCTAGTTCTCCACTTTCATTGATCTCCCACTGCTGTGTATTGCTGGAGAAAATCGTGTCCAGCACCACCTCAAATGTAATAATTGAACCTTAGCCCAACCCTCCGTGCTTTTAGTTCTTTATCAGTTTCTCATAAGTTTTTTGGAATTAGTGTTTTCCTCAATTCTCTGCCCTCTCATTCTCCTTACTCTCAGTAAGTAGCATCTTTCCACTTCCTCTTTGCCTGTATTAACTCACAGGCTTCCTAGGATTTACTGCTTCTCCTGTATCTGTGGCTCTCAAGGTTTTTGAACTCAAGAGCCCATTATGCTCTTAAATATTAAGCACCTTAGTGTGAAAAATAAAGAACCAGAACCTCTGGTCTTGATTTTTGCAAATATCTTTAACGTTTAGCTTGTAAGAAGATAGCTATGTTCTCACGTTGGCCTCTGTTCAGTCTGTTCCAATATGTTGTTTTGGTTGAAGTGTACGCAGGCAAATTGGGCCTCATTTGATGGGAAAGGGTATAAGTGGCCTTTTCAGATAATTGTGGATTTCCTTCCTTGATAGCACACCCAAACTTAACAAGCGGTGGTGTTGGAGAGATTAGTTGCACTATAGAATCTGAAGCCACATCAGTGAACTCTTCATACTCTTAAGTTGAAATCATGGATTTCTCTTGTACTCTGAATAGATTTCTCACCTGTGCATCACTTTGTAACATTTGGAAATTTGTGGTCTCCTGGTTTATGACAACCTTCCAAAAGTTAATGTATTTCATTATATGATATCAATAGTCACATTTGTTACTGTTACCGTTCATCTTATCAGCAGGACAGCAGACAACTCAAGTTTTCCAAATAATTATTTGAAAACTTAAAATTTTACCACTGGCAAAAATATTGTCTTTGTTTTTTTGGTTTTTGGGTTTTTTGAAAGTGTCAATTTCATTTACCTCATTTTTGTGAAAAATGTCAGTTACCTAAGTCTGAATCATTGTAGTTTATAGATAATTCTTCAAAGCACAATTAGCACCCCATTTAGAAAAACAACTAGTTCAATTTGTAATTCAAGAAACTATACATGTTTTTCTTTGAGACGACCATCAACCATTGTATTATACTTTGGTTTATAGCAAAAATGCTTCATGGGTAGTTTCCATTTTTGTCCCACAGAATATTAAAAAGCGATGTTGCATTCAAGGTCAAGATTTATTATAAAATTAGTTTTTACTGCCTCATCAGTAAGGAGATTCTTAAAGCGACTCTGTGGGTGTGTGAGGGTGCTGTCTAGGGTGATTACTAGGGCTGCTGGATGGCAGCGCCTTGATGTGTACCAAGAAACCACCTTAAATTTGTGCCATTGCTGTTGATGTCAACATAGTGAAAAGTGCAACAATGTCTAAAAATCAGCACCCTGAAAGGCTTCCCAGGACCTCAGGGATCTGTGGGCTGCATTCCAGAACTTTTCTCAGTTCTCAGCTCTCTCAGAACTTGGAGACCTTATACTTTCTCCTTTCTCTATATCACTTTTCCTTTTTTTT